GGGGTCTGTGACTGGTGCTTACAGATAATGCTCGAACAACATGGTCAGAAAGAAGACGTTGTGCATGTCGCATAACAGTTGTCAGCGCTTCTACAGTTGGAAAACCATGCAAGTTTGTAGGCAACTGTGGGGTAGGTAGACTGCCACTAGCATCTGGTGATTGGTCTTGTTGAGTACCTAATTTGAAGACAACATAGAACTAGCCTGAGATATGCATATGCATACAATAAACCAAACTCAAGAATGCCAAATTTGTTACCGTTTTGTGATAAGGCCCGTTCCATCCGGTTAATAAACTCTGTCAGCGTATTCAGAGAATCGGGTATTGGCTGATTTTAGGAAGATGGAAACAGTATAAGAAACCAACATAAAAGCAAAACAAATTCTTAAAGAAACATAATTTCCTACCGCATTCAGCGATGGAACAGCCATTGTTGCTCCCACAGGGTTTTGCATAGGACTGGATGCAGATTGACCGTTTAAGGCTTGATACAAACCAAACTGATTTCCACCCTGTCTCTGACTGCCAGCATTAGCCTGCGTCCGTTCTGTTTCATTTCCATCAGAAGTCTGAACACAAGAGATCACTGCTAATAAGTCCATAAGATCTTAATATGAATTTATAGAAGTCCAACTAGGATGATCCAATAGAGTAACTAAGAAAAGATATCAGCGAAAACATTAAATAAGTCACACATTTTTTCTTTTCTAGTTTCTTGCTTGGAAGAATGTACGATAGCTTGACTTAACATAGCTAAAAAATACATCAAATATTCCAACAGCTAAAGAAAACAGTGCTGCACACAGAAAAACAATATGGAATACCAGAGAAAAAACATTATCAGATCACCAACAGACTCAGAAAGTGAAAGTATTTGATACCTGAACGCCAGGTTGCATGCCAACTGGGTTGCCCATCCCTAAAGAGCTCAGTACAGCCCCTATGACCTAAATTGCACAAATCTTATTAATTATAAATAGATAGAGAGATAATTATTTTCATAGTTCCATCATCAAGTGAACACAAGAATTTCAAGCATAACTGCACAAACACACCCGACTTAAATCTGGTCCAAGTGACTCCCCTGGGTCTCCGAGATTTAAGGTCCCAAGTACTAAACTATGGGAAATTTGTCCAATACGATTGTGTGGTCCACCAGCAGCGGTATTTTGTCCTGTAAATAAAAGACGCAACTGAAAATCTAGAACAGAAAAGTATACCAGTTACTCTTAGAAAGATTTTGCAACTTATCACACCACCTCCAGTACTGTTACTGGAAGCTGCTTCCCCTGTATTGGACCCAGGAGAGGTCTGTGGCTGCCTCTCAACTAAATGCAGGGTATCCCCATGTTCCACGTCTGGTACTTGTTAAGGTAGACACCACGAAGATTACATAATGCAAATACTTCCTTGCAATAACATAAGTACCAAAACAAATCCAAAATGAATATTTTTCTTGCTTTATTTTTTGGCTTTTGCTTTTGTTTAACTAATTAAAAGAATATAAGCTAACTACAAAATAATAAATTAAATAACCAATGAGCACTTTTTGGCCCACTGAGGAACACAATTGACTAATCTAAATAGCACATAAGGGAATGTGTGATAATTCTCAAGTTTGCAGAGGAAGCAAAGCATCAACCAAAATTGTAAACGTCAAATCAATAAAAGTATAAGACATTAATAGTAGGTGGAACTAGGACGCATAAGTAATGCAGTGTCTGGTAGGATACGATATTCAGAGAGGATGTGATCATCTTTCAGAACCTTGCCCCTGAAAATGAGACGTTGTTGTCCAACAGGAACGCTAATTTTTTGAGCTATTTTCTCCTTAAAAGCTGAAACCAAAGTCTGAATTTGGCAAATCATGGGAATGAGTATGTACTTAGACTTTCAATTCAGTCAACTCTAACGTAAATGGAACAAAGAAGATGCACAAGGAATCATGCTCCAGAATGCATGTTCCAAGCAAATGATGAAACAAAAAATAACCAAAAACCATAGATTAATAAGCACATTATCTTCATAATCAATCAGAGTTCAATGAATCATGCATTTCATTACAAAATAAAAGTTAATAAAATGATGCTGTGATTCCACCCTGCAAGAAACATCATAAACAAGACCGTGGCAGTCGTATATTGATGAATATGAGCTTATGTTGGTTACAAAACAAGATTAAATCAGGACTCACGTTCCTATCAACGAGGAAACTGAAAATCCTCGAATCAAGAGTCTTGATATTGACATGAAGTGCTGGACCAGAATTTTCAACAGCAGTATCACTCGCACCCGAAACGGGCGGCCGATTCTCCATTTAACTTCACAAGACAAGGAACCCCTACAACTAAACAACAAGACAAGCGAATAGTTAACAGGACAGTTAATAATACAAACACAAGGTAAACGAGCAAACCCATTAAAGAAGATTTAGAGCCAATGATCTCAAACCCAAAG